CGAGAACTAGAAAGGCGAGGCTTCACCACCCATTTATCCCTCTGCCTTTCAACCAGCACCACATGTGATTATTGGCCAGGCTGGCACAATTAACTAACTCAGAGTGGAAGCCCAAAATCAATCTGCAGGGTCCCTACATACATTAAGCCTCTAGTGGAGCCCCTCTGACCACAGTCGAGGGACATGAATAACCCTGCTATCAGACAGAGACTACTGTAAAGCTGATTATGGCAGGTGCAAGTAGCTTATAATATGGTACCTGGTCATTTGATTATCCCTCTTGACCCATTTTGAGTTTGTTCTAGTTTTAACCTTCTTGACAAAGTTCTTTCTCTGATTTATTTTGATATGGCCACTGATTTTTTTCTTTCTTCCTTTAAAAAAAAACCATATATATATATATTTGCTGTTTTCCTTTTGTAGCACAAGATGGGTAGATGTATAGGGTCAATATTAACAATGGTTTACTGGGGATATGTGGGGGTGTGTGACAAAGGGAGATTGGAGGGAAATGGAGAGCAAATAATAAATACAGGAGGGGAAAGGATGTTGTAGAGCTGATTCTGGTGACATATACACAATTCCTTTTAAATATGACTGAACTATGGAAGCGTATGATATGTGATTTAAATCTCCATGAAACTTTTGGGGGGAAATAGAGAATATAATGCTATTAAAATGCAATGTGCAAAAAAGTGCATATTGTTGTTTTGTGCTGTTGTTAATATTACAGTCAAGAAAACTCTATGGAACATGAGTCAAAATTGAGTGGCAGCCACAGGTTTTGCTAGTTCTTTTAAGGCGCTATTAGCTAGCTGGGAAAGACAGACATATAAACCAGTAATTAAATGATCTCTGCTCAGTGATAAATAGAGGTGTCCACCAGGTCGAAGCTATCATCTCTGGCTGAACTATCTCAGATAGCTTCTAAGGGCAAGAGAAGGTGTCCCAGAGGAGATGCCATGTGACTGAGGAACATTTTCAGGGCTGTGCAAGTCCCCTCGTTGCCCTCGGCTGAAATTGTCCTCCAAGCTCTTCAGAGTTTATTCCTACACTTCTGATGTGGGAATACTTGTAATGTCACTAGATGGTAAACTGCAGCTCTGGGCTTGATTGGACAGGAGTTTAAATCCTATGAAGTTTTAATGTCAAAGCTAGTTAACGTGGGATGGACATGTGTCCAGAGCACAGAGAACGGTGCAGAAGACCATTGTACCTGCCATCGGATTCTAGGAGCTCTCTGGGTAGGAAACGTTTTTCAAACCTACCTAGAGAAGAGACATCCTCTTTCTTTTTAAAAATCATTTATTTATTTATTTTTAAAATCATTTTATTGGTGCTCTTTCAGCTCTTATAATAATCCATACATCCATGGTGTCAAGCACATTTGTATATATGCTGCCATCATCTTTTTCTAAACATTTTTCTTTTTACTTGAGCCCTTGGTATCAGCTCCTCATTTTTATCTCCCTCCCCTATCCTCCCTCCCTCATGAACCCTTGATAATTTATAAATTATTATTATTTTCATATTTTATACCGATACTTCCTCCCTTTACCCACGTTTCTGTTGTTCATCCCCCTGGGGGAGGGGTTATATATCCATCATTGTGATCGGTTCCCTTTCTCCCCACCACCTTCCATCTACCTTCATGGTCTTGCTAGTCCCAATATTGGTTATGAGAGGTTTATCTGTCCTGGATTCTGTGTGTCAAGAACTCTTATCTGTACCAGTGTACATGCTCTGGTGTAGCAGGATTTGTAAGGTAAAATTGGGGTCATGATAGTGGGGGAGAGGAAGCTTAAAGAACTAGAGGAATATTGTATGTCTTGTCAGTGCTATACAGCACCCTGGCTGTCTCGTCCCTTCCTTATGACCCTTCTGTGGGGGAATGTCCAATTGTTTATGAATGCGCTTTGGTTCTCCACTCCACCCACCACCTCATTTACATCGATATGATTGTTTGTTCTGGGTCTTCAGGTGCCTAATACCTGATCCTATTGACACCTCATGATCACAAAGGCTGGTGTGCTACTTCTATATGGGCTTTGTTGCTTCCCAGCTAGATGGCCACTTGTTTATCTTCAAGCTTTTAAGACCCTCGGATGCTATATCTTTTGATAGCCAGGCACCATCAGCTTTCTTCACCACATTTGTTTATGCACCCATTTTGTCTTCGATGATCATGTAAGGAAGGTGAGCATCATGGAATGCCAGTTTAATAGAACAAAGTGTTCTTGTGTTGAGGGAGTACTTGAGTAGAGGCCTAATGTCCATCTGTTACCTTAATATTTAACATATAATATATGTGCATATATCTATGTCCCTATGATTATATGTGAATATATTTACATATGTATGTGCCAGTATTTATATCTCTATAAATGTCTTTTGCTTCCTAGTTCTTTCCTCTACTTCATTTTACTTTCCTCTTGTCCCACTCTCATGTTAGACCTTCATTCAGTTTTCCGTAATTCCTTTGGGCTACATTACACTTTATCAAGCCCCACCAGGCATCCTATGCCCTCCTCACCATAGATTTGAGATCACTTGCTGTTCCCTTGACTCTGGGTTTATTAGCTACCCCCTTCCTTTCCCTCACCTCCCCCTCTCCCACGTCCAGTGGCACCATCAGTCCCATTGTTTTCTCCTCAGGATTGTTTATCCTGCCTATCTTATATAGATAGACATGAAAAAA